TTTGTTATCTCTAGTAGGTCTTATTTCTTCTGAGGTGCGTCGTGCTTTAAACTTGAATTCTAGGAATATGGTCTCAGCCTTAAATCCTAGAGTTTTCTAGGAGCTTAACATTTTCATGGATAAATATTAAAGTTACTCAAGGCTAAGTTTGGAATTAAGTTTAGAAGATTACTGTGTCAGAAAATGTGCAATAATTTCTTTGACATGAAGGAAAATTTAGAATCTTGAGTAAATGCTAAGTATTTTTATACAATTGATTATGGAGATCATGGATTATAATAGCCACAGTGAAGGCTGAAATTATCATCAATATTACTTGGATTAGAAATAGACATGGGTGAGTCACTGCTAGACAAGAGTGAAAATATAGAAAAATGAGGTTTGCATTATGTTGTTTGTTGAAAAATATGCTTGTGTAGTATACATTTTTTCTTAAACCTGAGCTAAGTTTGAATTTAGTCCTACTTGGAGAAGTAGATTATACTGTATTATCTCTAGAGATGATTTCCAATCTATTTTTTTTCTGATTGTGTTACTTAGTAGTAATTATACATTTGAATGTCAGCTAATGAGTAATAATGGTTTAAAAACTCTAGCTTGTTTGCTCTATCTAAAAGGCGTGTAAAAATAAAAAAGTGTACTGTATTCTTTTGACTTAATAGGCAAAGGTTGATTTATTAAAGCTGATGAACTGGGATTGAATTCTTGGTTTATAGTTTTGCGTTTGTGCACTGTTGTGCCACTACTGCATTTGTTATGCAAGGCCACTGTCTGAGATCTCTCTCTAATAGGAAAGTCACAAGGTACTTTATTTGCAATCACTATGGGTATGTAAAATACAGTAAGCTTCAGTAGCTTCACTGACACAGACAAGAAGGAAAAGTATTAGTGAGAAACATGCTTGTACCATTACAGTGATTCTCTTTCTTCTTCCTTCTTTTATTTAAGGAACTGGTATTTACAGTGCACATGGAGAAGATTAATGATGTAGAATGTCATTAGATGATGTAGAAGTCATTTAAATTGCAATGATGTAGACGGTATTTTTTATGTCTAACCTTTTTTTATGTTTCCAGTGACTTGACAATTCCTACTATCGTTGTTTTGAATACCTCCAATCAGCAGTATTTTCTACCAGATAGGCATATTGAGAACACAGAAGATATGGTTCAGTTTATTAACAATATCTTGGATGGTACAGCTGAAGTAAGTTTTCATTGTGACTTGAAATATGTTGTTGGTGTTTATTTTATAAGATGTTGAAATAGGAAAAAAAAAGTTGCTCTGATTGTCATGTCAAATGCTTTTATCTTCTTTTTTGTCGTCTTATCTTGGACACTGTCTATATATGATTCTGAGTTCAGGATTTTCCTTTGCTCAGATTTCTGACTGCAGAACCTCTAATAGCAAGCAAACGTAGTTTTACTGTATAGAGCTTATTAAGTTATCTTGATATTTCTTTTACTGTTGTCACTGATAAATTGAGAGCTTTTAATTCTCTTCCTGGTTTCCTTTAAATTTTTTCTGGTGAACGTAATTTAGCTCTATGCTTTCTTTTGGGCAATGACTAAATAAATCTAGCAGCTTCATGAATGATATGTTCTGATTCAGACTGGTGGTATGCTTCCTTTGCATATTTCAGACACAAGCTTGCTCTTCTCTACCTGCTCTTAATGACCTTTTAACAAAGCTAATCAATCCACCCACAGTTAATGGCTAGGACGATTTTTTTTTTTTTCCCACGTTAGCAAAGCAAACTCAGGTTTGCTTCTACCCTCAGTGGACTGTAAGTTGAGCAAAAGGCTATGTTGTGCAGATAAGGAAAAGACTGTATCATTCTCATTTGTGCTCCCTGTACAGAGTGGCCCCTCAGTGAAAGAAGGCAGTGCTGACAAATCATCCTGCTGCCTCCTGGAAGACACCTATGTCCAGTTCTCTTTACAATGAATACTTACTGCGTTAGTTGAATCTCGCATCACGTTATGCCAACAGTTTTAGGATGCTGAATAGTAATAACAAGTAAGGCTGTAGACTGTTTCAGTCACACGGGATACTTTGGTTTATTTAGTCTGACAGATTGATATATCAACAACACAATATGGGTGGATTTGCTTGCTGTTGTTGACTTTACTGGCTAAGTATCTGAACACGAGGCAGGGAATATTCCAAGTAAATTCTTTAGTTGCATTTTTTCCTTCAATTCTCAATTCTTTAATATTTTTAATTATATTAATTGCACCTGGAATTTTTGAATTATGTTTTTATTTGCATCTGTTTAACTTTGTTTAAATACGACAGATTATATTAGTTTGTCTGGTTTTTAACTAGAGTAACAGTATTTGTGATGCCATGTGTTTTTTCTTGTACTATCTCTTGTGTCTTTGTATGTTTTGTTTACAGTATTTTAGCTAGAATGATTAAAGGCCTGTTTGAATTCACATCTTTTGTATGTACATGAGAGAGCTAATACAGGATGGACTTCATTGAAGCTAAATGATGTCTGTAGACATAAAATGGCATTACTACAGATATGCTCAGACCCAATAAATTGGCAGTCTTTAAAGTACAGTGATAAACTAGTAATAGAATGTAGGGTTTCTGAACCACAGTAAAATTTCTGAGAAATGTGGCAATCCCTACCTCCTTTATTTGTAAGGTGTTGGAATATTCATATTGTTATTCTGTATGGTCTTAGTAGCCTTCTTTGAGTCCTTCATCTCTGTAATTTGCACTTTAGGAGAATTTGGTCAGGATCATGTTCTGGTCAGTTGATTTTCTCCAAAATGTAGATTCTCATCCTATTTGTTTCTCTGGCATCCTGAGGCAGGTGAAGACTGGCCTTATTCAACACACAAATTAGCTTCAGATTCATCTAGTATTTTGGAAACTCTGTTAATTCAGGTAGTAACGCAGATGGTCTGATATTACTGGCCACAAGCTATATTTTATTACGCCTGTGTATTTTTCTGTTACTTTTTAGATTTTTCTAACTGCTTCTGTTTTTATCTTTAAATAGTTATCAATCAACTTAAAAAAGAAGGTTCTCTTCAATTTTATAATGGTTACACTGGGACAGTTGTTAGTTTTTCTTAGTGTTTCTCCACAGGAGGAGTGCCATGTGTCTGCTGTTAACCATTTGCTTAAAATAATTTGGGAAAATTTTTCTTGAGAATATAGATATTTGTCCGTGCTAGAAAAGTTGGAGTGTCTGGGCATTGTGAGATGCAAGAATAACTACTTTTCATTTCCTTCTAAAGGGGCTTAAGATTTCAAGGTCTGAAGAATGAACTTTTGGAATCATAACTGAAAAGTGTCAGCAGTTTTGACATGGTTCCATTTGAAATTTCAGGCACAAGGTGGTGATGGAGTTCTGCAACGAATCAAGAGAATAGTCTATGATGCCAAGTCTACTGTAGTGGTAAGTTTTATATTTTGTAAATTAGATAGTGTAGAGCAATGGAAGGTAGTGATAATGCCTTCTACTACGACAGGAGCACACTTATGAAGGTATTTGTTAAGATTTGTTAAGATTTAGTTTAAAAAGCTATTTAGAAGAAGGAGGCTCATCCTTTCTAGAGACTGGTGATATCTCAAGAAGAGCATCATTTTCGAATAGAGATGCTTCTCCCTCAACTGCTAATACATAAATGAGGGTAACGATCCTGGGTCCACCCCTTCTGGTTGCTCACATGCATTGCTTGCACCTGAGCTCACTGGCTTATCCATGACTTGTCACCTAGTGCTTAGTCATCAGTTCAGATCATGACCTAAAAATTCCCATACAGATGGTAGCCTTATCAATCAGGATGCATATGTTTTCATGGATTTTAGAAATATTTTTATATAAATCTGTTCATGTATATGCTCATACACATATGCATTAGGTATAAGCCTAATTAACTTTTTGATGAAAGTCTCTAATAACATTTTCTAGTGTGCTAAATATTCAGCATACAGAGTTTCTTATTTTTTCACTCCCATTCTGTATTAAAATCTGATGTACGTTTTAAGGGATAGAACAGAAAGAATTAAATGTTTTTCTTAACCCCCTTCTATTCCTCTCATTGAAAACAATAGCACTTTTACGTTCTGAGGAAAGCTATTTAGGGCATAAAGAGATTAAATAGTATACTTGGTGTGATTTTAAAACAAATACTTTATCATTCTTGGAGGTAAACAATGCTTAACAGCATTTTATTGGGCAGAAGTACATAATTTTTTTTCTGTTTGTCATACACAAACAAAAAAATCTTTGCTGTGAATTTGAATTCACGTTTGCTTGTTTCTTTATGTGGCTTCCAAACTTCTGTCAGCATGCAGCATTCACGCATCACTTTCCGAAACCAGAAGTCCTTCCTCTTGTGCAATAAAGTCTTTCAAGCTACTCTTTAATAGGAAGCTCTCTAATACCAGGTGGTTTCTCCAGATCCCTTATGATGACTCAAACTTATTTTTGAGAATGAGACACAAATGAGAGTTTAAACTGGTTGTTTTAAAATGTTATTTTAACATTATTAGCACAATGGTTTCTCAAGCTTCAAACAGTGAGTAGAATTTGTAGCTAGTATGTTAACATTAATCGTCCAATTGGAATATTGTAATATTAACCTAAGATTTTTTTAATGAGCTTACAGTAGGAATGGCTAAAATGACTGCTTTGCCCTTCTGAAGAAAACTGACTCAGTTCAGATCTTAGTAAATAAATATGCAGATTAATAAGTAATGTGATAACTGTGTATGTTCAATGGAAGTGTTTTTGATTTTAAATCTGTGTTCCAACAGTCAGTGTTCAAGAGTTCACCACTTTTGGGATGCTTTCTCTTTGGGCTGCCCCTGGGTGTCATCAGCATAATGTGTTATGGAATCTGCACAGCTGATACAGATGGAGGTGTAGATGAACACGAGGCAGTTAAAAAGGAAAACAGCGATCGAGAGCTCACAGATGATGGCAGTGAGGAGGAGCAAGAGGAGGAAAAAAACGGAAAATATGAAGAACTATCAGATGGAGAGCTTAAACAGAAAGACCTATTGGAAAAGAAAAAGGACTAATGTGTTGAACAAAAAATCTCTAGAATTTCCAAATAGACTTATTTATTGAAAGTAGTCATTTATTGGTGATCTTCATGAAAGAGGACCTTTTTGTGTCTGCATTAAGGTAGTTTTGACTTGCATGTGTTTAAATTTTCTCAGATATTGACAGGAAAAAGAGCTGAAATAGGGATGTTCTCTCAATTGTCTTTAATAATTATCAAAGGAATATGAAGGAACTTGCAGGTACTTTTGGGGAGGTTTTTTATTGTTTGTTCCTAGAACAATGAGATAATGTTACTTGACCTTAGTATATTTGATGAAATGATAATGATACAGCCCAGCCAAACACTCAAAATTAAGTCTGTATACTAAGAAAATTCAAGAGATCTGTAAATTCTTTCAGAACCTTGATAGTTAAAGACATGTTACGGTTTTTCCAGGAACTCACATGTTTTATTGTTGCGCATTATTTTGGAAAAAATAATTTTTTGTTATCAAGTTAAATGTAAATTGTTATAAACCAGAGGACTGTTTTATTATGTACTAATGTAATTACTGGCAGTCAGGAATATCTCTGTGATATACAATATGTTAGCAGCTAAAAATTATTGGAGAACTACATTTTAAAACTTTCCAACAAGGTTACGTGTTAAATTGTTTTATGCTTACATAAACTTCTATTACAAATGATCATTTGTACTAAAAGTTTTCTGAAACTGCAGTACAACTTGATAAAGGATGACACAAGCGCTCTAACTATTTTGCCAAAATCCCACATGACAAGTTTTTGACTGATGTAAACATGTTTACAGTGTTTAATTTAGATTGTTACAAGTCTTTGAGGTGGTTGGTGTTGATACTACTATTTGAGACTGTTACCTAGAGAATTAACAGAGCATAATATTAACTTTCATACAAATTGATCAGTATAATGCATTTTTATTATCTGTTTAGTCATAAAAGTCACTTCTAATACAGTCTTGTGAAAATGACTAGTTTGTGTCCAGGGTTAAAATCTCCAAGGCCTTTGGCACTGATGCTATGAAGAGTACCATACAAATGGAACTTCTGTTGTTCCTTATCTTGGTATTTATGCTGTTTGGTTTTTTTTTCCTTCTTTTAAAGTAATATTACTATATAATACAGATGAAGTCCTCTGTATAAGGCAGCTAGATTACATAAGAAATTAATGAGCTGTAACTCTAAGGCATTTTAAATTAAGACATTGGTAAACTTAAGTAGTCAAGTTTTGTATTGGAGCAAATGATGATAACATAAACATAACTATGGAAAATGAATTGCATCCTTTTTTTTGTACGAAGAAAATTTGGTTCTTCGGTTTAAGTAGCTTGGTATCAGCTGTCTTCATGTTGCGGTGCAGTATACAATAAGTAGATGACTGTTATCAGTGTAACAAACAAGGTCTAAAGTTAGGAAATATTTTTCAGAAAAATCTGATTTTTAGTCAACCCTCTTTTCTTTCAGAACAAGAAGAAAAGACAAATTCGTGTAATTCTGAATAGCAGGTGTAAGAGATGCTTTTTTTTGCTATTTGTTTTCTCCTTTTTCCTTTGTGAATTGCATTTTTCCCTTTTTTCATTATATTTGCATTATATTTGAGCTGGTTGTAAATAGTAAGTTGAGTTACCTTGTTTTTTTAATGTCTGTGTTTTGTTTTTTTTTTTCAATATGTGGGATACATTGAGGTATATTTTTAGCATATATGTGAAGAGTGAGATGCTTAAAAATGTATTTAGAGTCATCTTTAATATGATTTAGAGCTGTTGAGTTGCATTTTAAAACAATAATCACTCAAAGACAAGGCTATAAGTTCCTTTGGAATTCAACATAAGTCAGTGGTAATAATAAAAATGTAGGACTACTAATATAGTAAGATGTTTTCTTGATTTGTCTGTTGCCATGAGATTTCAAATACAAATCAATTACGTGTTTAATTTTGGCTTTGGCGGGGACATGCAGCTTTTGACTAAAAGATGGATGTGATCAGTGGAAGGCCACCCTTCATTCTGTAGTGTGTAATTAAGAAACCAGCCAAAAACCTGACCAACAAAAGTGAAAAGAAACCCCATGAATTCTGCTGCATTGCAAAGAACTGCTTCATTTGTGGCTCTTCATTTTTGAGGTTATTTTTTGTGTTTATGACCAAATACGAGCCCAGTATCTTGTTGAGAAATCTTTTGTGATACAAAGCTGAAAATAAATGCTGTGTAATAAACACCTCACACTGGGTTCTGATACAACTGTAACATTCAGCTGCTGAAGAAAATATACCTCAGTCACTTCTGAATTGCAGTATCAATCTGATGTGTACTGAGCTATTGAAAATCAAGCTTGAAACATACTGCTGTTTTCACCAAATTCTTTTCTCAGCTATGTTCAACAACGCACAGGGAAAAGAAGAGCGTACAAATTGCAAACTGAGTGTAAAAAGTGATATGCAATTACAGGAACTTACTGTGGTCATGCAAATAATTTAGAATGTTGTCAGAGGAGAATCTGTCATTTTTTTCTCAAGTCTCTCAAGGTTTCTTAAAGCAATTTCACTGTCATAACCTCTTTTGAATTCATGAAATAATGCTGCTTATTGAATTCAAGTGTAAGCCTTTTGTTTTTTTTTTTTCTATAATAAAAACACATAAAAGTACTTGTCTGCTTTGTTTAATTTATGGTGTGTTGAGGTGCTCCATGTTCTGTAGAAGGCAGCATTTCCTGCAACTTTTGTTGTAAGCGTGTATTAAGCCTGAGTAACTCAGTTCAGAACTGTAGATGGCAGCTTTTGAAAAAGCTAACGCCTCTTCAGTATTTTGAAAAAATTCTCCAGTTTTAGGAGTGAAATGTTTCTTTATACTGCTGGGATACTCACTGAGTAAAACGAATACATTTCTGAAAAAAAGGAATTTTAAGTACCAATATGTTCCATTAGCATACTTGCAAATTTCTACAGCAGTTACTGTAGCAAAGGCAACTTGAGGTAAATTGTTCTATAATACTTTTCCTTCTGAAAGAACTTAATTTTGAGTAGTGTTGACATTTGGCCATGTGCACTGTCTTACTGTTTTGGTGTCTGAACTGTCTTAACAGGAACTTTCCACAGTGTGGTGCTCAGTGCTTAAAGGATGGCATGACTATATTTTGATTGATCAAGTGTGTCGAAGACTGCACAGAAGTGCTTCATTTCATGAAATGTTTAAGGAAAAGGTTTATCTTGCTCTATTTTGGTCCAGAATTAATTTACCCATTTCTCTTTTGTCAGCATGTTTGTAGAAGCCCTGCTTGGATGGGTGGAAGGGTGGAGCACTCTAGTGACAGTCAAAAGCTCATTATTGAAAAGGGTACAGAAACAAAATGTGCTTCCCTAAAGCTTTCTTAATATCCAACAAGGCTACAGACGTTTCAGATGGTATTTTGCTGAGAGTCAGTGGTTCTGGTTCTCAGATCTTTTCAGGAAATGCAGCAGCTTTCTGCTTTTTTGTTGTCATCTTGGAATATACTGAATCACGTTGAAACTGCTGCATGTTGTATTGGTATAACCAGTGAAGACAGTTTTGACAGTCTTGTGTTGAACGCTTTGTTGAACTCTTAGATTGAAAGGTTTCTGTAGTCTGCCTAGGCAGAGTAAGTATTCCCAAAACAATTATCTTCCTCTGCTTTCTGAAATTGTAACCATTTTAAAGGATTACTCATACTAACCTGTATTTTGATTCTCTGACATAGAGCACCATTTAGCAGCTGATGTGAAAGGTCCTGTTTCTAGCAGACTTCATTCTGCTCATAAGCCAAGGAGCATAGAAGTGTTTGCAGTTGTAGAATAAATAAAACTATTCTACACAGAGCATTTTTGAATGGAGAATTGTGTCTATTAACAACAAAACGTAAAATATTTTCAAGATCATTTGAAGAAGGATGAGTAAACCTTAAGGACTATTATTAGTGAGAGGAATAATGTTTTCTGACTGGATTTGTGTATAAGTTCTCATTGAAGAAGAGAGAATATGACTTCACAGAATTAGCGTGCAACTTGTCAGTAAATTTTACTGACATACAGTGTTCTATTCTGAGCGTGCCACTTCACTTTCATTGCATCACTTCTGGTACTCAGCGGTCTTTATTGCTAGTTGACATAATCTGTGGCTGGATTAATGATTGTCCTGACCAAACCAGTGGGCAGTTTTATACTGCATTAAGAGATTGAACATTTGAGGGCTAATTATGAAGTAGATAAAAAAGCATGGACAGGAGAAGTGGGAATGGAGCTGGATCCACTTATTCTCGTATCTATAACTTGTTTTGAAATAGCTATTGTACATTCGATATATATTGTCTGCATAGCTAATCAACATTTAGGTCTTTTCAAAAGAAATTTTATCTCTCTGCTTACTTTTCATAGTCAAATTTTGGCATTTTCATTCTGTTTTTACCTTCAAAGTAAACTTTTGGCTGGATCAATTTGCTTGTCGTAGTGGGTAGCATTACAACACAGTCACAACTATTAGGGGATGTTTATGCTGTTTGTCCTCATTAGCACGCACTGCAGGTCATTCACAATAATTTGTAGATTTGTGTTCTTTGAAATAAAAAACAAACCAGCTCCTCTGTTTTGTGTTAAGTTGCTATACCTCTAATTTAAAGGAATGGTGAATTGGAGTATAATTAAATATTGGTGAAGTTGGCATCTTGTAGCCTAAATGCTTTCAGGAATTAGGGACTTAATCAATAATGTGAGATTTGCGTTTTCACCTTAAAAGCTTGCTGCAATTTTATTCTTGTTACTTGCACAGTTGATGTTGACTTCTAATCCAAAGCAGACAATGTACTGTTGACAGACTAAAGATTTAAGTGATTCAGCATTTAAATAAGTAAATAATCTATGGGAGTGGTTTAAAACCTTGGGGTAAAGCAAGGAATCTGACTTCAGTATCGACAGAACTACTCCAGAAGTATTTTTTTTTAGCATTAAATCATTTTTTTTAATGACTGACAGCAGTTTTTAGATAGAATAATACAAAAGGACTAACAGAATTTGAATATCCTGACATTAAGGTAGCTTTAGCTTTCTTCTTTGTAATCACTACAAGATTTACATTGTGAAATATTCCTTGGTTATGTAGAAATTGGGAGAAATTTGTGTTGGTCCAGACAAGTCCCTAGCAATTCATTAGTTTCACCTGAGCTGATGAAAAGAGACTAATTGCCTTCAGCAGATTTACCATTAATATCAGTGTCTGAGTTTCAGTATTGAAAACTATAAATTATGCTATGCTGTCATACAGAACTGTGATTTATGTGAAGATAAATATATTGTGTGAGTTAATCTTTGAGATAACAATACTATAACGCATATCTCACCTTCTTTCTCCCTCAGCTTTTTAAAAGTATGTATTAAAACAATCAACAAAAAAAACCAAAACATATATGTATTTTAATTCTTTGTGTTGTTTATGAAATCCCAAAACATTTTATTCACATCCCAAGTGTCACAGATTGCTAGAGATAAGGCAGCATGTTGCATTATTAACATTTTGAATGTGCCTGGTCCTGGGTGTTATCTCATGAAGTAACGTGATGAGCTTATCAATGGGAGTTGAAGGAAAAGAGGAATTATTTTCCAAAAGGTAAGCAAGTGTTTTTCTGTGGTGAATGTCTCCGACAGATAGTTGTGCTGCAGTTTGAGATATATATATTTAAGTAGCTCAGATCTTCTTGTATTATGTTATTATGCTTTAAAATAAAAGGATTTTTAGCAGGGTGAGTGTAACTCTAGATTTTTAGAATAGGTTTTAACTGCAGATATGTATCTTGGCCTGAGTATAGTATAGTTATGTATTTACACTTTGCATCATGCTTTGTCAAAATTTAATTGGGTTTCAAGGTCAAAGTTGTTAACACATTCAGTGAAGCTGTGTTAAGTTTGTTTCCTGTGAGCTTCTGGAATTCAAGCCTGGTGCAGAAACAGTGTTTATTTAATGGGTCG